CAAGTGCCAGTGATGCTGGGCAATGCATTTTAAGAAATAGGTGGGCAAATTCCCATAAATGGAAGCAGTGGGTAATGTTGCGTAAATAAATAAATAAATGAAATAATTTCATTAAGGGAATGGAGTCTTCTGGGTCTAGAATAAAAGAAGTCTGAGGGAGGAACTCTCCCTTCTAACACCTACAAGATTGCTACAACAACAACACAAAAAAAATGTTTATCAGTTACTCTTCGTGTTTCCTGCGGGAAGGAAGGGATTAGCTTTATTTGCAAGAAAAGATGTTTTTGTTGAATGTTAAAGTGGAAAATAACAGGCACCTAGTGGTGATGTGAAAGCTCTTTCCTTGTAGGTTTTTAAGCTGGCGATGTTTATGGGATGCTTTGCCCTGCCACATGCAGGGATTGAGTGCTCAGTCCGAGTTGGGTGGGACTGTTGATCTGGTAGGAAGGCTCTGCAGAGGGATCTGGACAGGCTGGATCGATGGGCCGAGGCCAATTGTATGAGGTTCAACAAGGCTGAGGGCCGGGTCCTGCACTTGGGTCACAACAACCCCCTGCAATGCTATGGGCTTGGGGATCAGTGGCTGGAAAACTGCCCAGAGGAAAAGGACCTGGGAGTGTTTGCTGACAGTCGGCTGAACACGAGCCAGCAGTGTGCCCAGGTGGCCAAGAAGGCCAATGCCATCCTGGCCTGCATCAGGAACAGTGTGGCCAGCAGCACCAGGGCAGGGATTGTCCCCCTGTACTGGGCACTGGTGAGGCCGCACCTCAAATCCTGTGTTCAGTTTTGGGCCCCTCATGACAAGAAAGACACTGAGGTGCTGGAGTGTGTCCAGAGAAGGGAACGGAGCTGGGAAAGGGTCTGGAGCACAAGTCCTGTGAGGAGCAGCTGAGGGAGCTGGGGGTGTTTTAGCTCAGGGGATGCTCAGGAGAGACCGAGACCTTGTCGCTCTACAACTCCCTGAAAGGAGGGTGTAAAGAGGTGGGTGTTGGTCTCTCCTCCAAAGTGACAAGCGAGAGGACAAGAGGAAATGACCTCAAGTAGCACCAGGGGAGGTTTAGATTGGGTATTAGGAAAGATTTCTTCAGTGAAAGGGCTGTCAGGCATTGGAACAGGCTGCCCAGGGATGTGGTGGAGTCACTGTCCCTGGAGATATCTGAGGGAGGTGTAGCTGTGGTGCTGAGGGACATGGTTTAGTGCTGGACTTGGCAGTGTTGGGTTAATGGTTGGACTTGATGATCTTAAAGGTCTTTTCCAACCTAAACAATTCTATGACCTTGCTGCTGTAGTTTGTTTTCATGGTTTCTTTGATCATTTTTGTTGGTGAAATTACTGTGGTGGTTCCCTGGATGTGATGGGTTTAGGAAACAGAAGTCCTTGCCTGCCAAACGTCTCACCTATTGCACTTTAGCTTGGGGTTTTCTTTCCTGAAAACTCGATGACTATTTCAAAGTTATGACCTGACATCAATTCAAGTTAAAACTTTGTATTTGGATGGTGGATTAAGCTATCTATCCTCTCCACCTTCAAACCTTGTAGGCTGCCTGTAGCCTCTGCAGTTGATTTTGGTCTGGGTTCTGATTTGCAGTTAAAACTTGTGGTTTATAGCGCACTCCTCTTGAAGCAATAGGAGGAATATTTTATTTAGGTGGGGTAGAATCCAAATTCAGGAAGAATGCTTGTCACACACGCGAAGTAGAAATGTGTATGTCATTCAAAATAAACTGTTTAGTTTTTTAGTTTTAGTTGACTTCATATGCACAGAAATCAGATACTTTGTGTGAATTTTAATTTTTTAGTCATGTTGATGTCTTCAGTTCCTAAAGATAGTTAAGCCACAGAAAATTAGGAACCTGATTTTTAATGCAGCATCAGTATTGCATAGAGGCCCTTAAAATACACACAGTAAATATAAAAGTTTTGCATGAAAGGTAATTATTTTATATTTATATATATTTACATAAATACACATTATTCATAAAATATGTATTTGTTTCCTACTTTTATAATTTGAATGGCAATAATAATATACGAGTGTTTCTATACACATTAAGCCATGGCAGATAATACATCAAGACAGTGTTACTCCATAGTCATCTGATATCCTAAACACAGTTTTGCTAAACACACTTCCAGGGTTTTCTTTTGTTATTGCTCTTCCACAGATAAAACTACGATGTTAGTAACCGTTGTTGATGTAGACGGGTCAGGATTTCATTTTACTGAAAAGCCCTTCACCTCATGTGGTGCTTAGGATGTGGTAAACATACAGTGACAGCAGAA